CTTCAGGCCTTGATCACTTGTTTTTGTTCTCTTGTACACCGATGCAATGCAATGTAGTTGTAAAAGTGTTGGACTAGGAGCATAGAGACGAGACTTGGATTTTATCCCATCCTCAGCCATGGAGCTCCCTGGAGGAAGAGGATTGAGGCCTAGCCAAGCTTGAGTACCTGAACNATCTATCTATCTATCTATCTATCTATCTATCTATCTATCTATCTATCTATCTATCTATCTATCTATCTATCTATCTATCTATCTATCCTTCATGGCTAATGTGAGACTAGAACTCACAGTCTCTTGGTGATTGGCCCAAAGTCACCCAGCTGGCTTTCACAGCTAAGGTGGGACTAGAACTTACTGTCTCCCAGTTTCTAGCTTGGGGCCTTCAGTAGTAGATCAAACTGGTATTAGATTTATAATAGAAATAATTTGTGTGCTGCATAATAGAAATTTTGAGTAAAGTTTCTAACTTAGAGCAGAGATTGAGGCTCCCCTTTTCTCGTTCTAGATGATGATGATGATTAAATATCTTTCTGCAGAGATGCCAGCAGAAAAAGCCTCTCCCTTGCAATGGGAGTCTGTATCTAAATAAATAAATCTGATCCAGGTTTCAGATGAGACAATCTGTGGTGGGTATTTTTGTAGTTTTTGTTCCAAAGAAATAATATGGATTTTGAGACGTTGCCTCACTTTTAAAATCACAAGCATTGCCACCACCAAACCATCTGTTTAAAGTACAGATTTGATTTTGTAAAGGCCACAGGAAATGTCACCTTGCAATGGATTCCTTTCCACGAAGCGTTATTTCTTTAAACGTATTACAGTACAGTAGATTTTTTAAAAATAGCAATAGCAATATTACTTAGCAATATCACTTAGATGTATATACCATGTTACAGTGATTTACAGCCCTATCTAAGCAGTTTACAGAGTCAACCTATGGCCTCCAACAATCTGGGTCCTCATTTTACTGACCTAGGAAGGATGAAAGGCTGAGTCAACCTTAAGGTGGTCAGGTTCAAACTCCTGGCAGTGGGCAGAATTAGCTTGCAATACTGCATTCTAACCACAGGGAAGGAGGGAAGGAAGGCAGGAAGGAAGACAGCAATAGCACTTAGACTTATATACCACTTCATAGTGCTTTATAGCCCTCTCTAAACGGTTTACAGAGTCTCAGCATCTTGCCCCCAACAATCTGGATCCTTATTTTACCGACCTCAGAAGGATGGAAGGCTGAGTCAACCTTGAGCTGGTGAGATTCAAACTACAAAACTTCTGGCAGCCGGCAATCAGCAGAAATAGCCTACAGTACTGCACTCTAACCACTGTGCCACCATGGCTCTTAATCCAGATGGAATCCAGATGCATCCACAGAACTATGCAAAAGTGCAGGTGAGGAGTCAGTGCTAGGAAGAGGAAAGGCAAGATATGGGGAGGAGTCTGGTAGTAACTTTTTTAGCTGACTGATTTCATAAAAAGGCGCCTATTTCCAGGGGCGTAACTCCCTTCATCAGAGGCACAAATAAAGTGAGCTGCAGCTCACACAGTTTTCTCCAAGACTCATAATGGATTTGAGTGCATTTTGGTGCAACGTTGCAAATGCTGAGTCAAACTAGACCGTTTGAGCCTCCACCCCCTCCCCATTTCATTGAAATGGAAAGGATGGCCTGGAGCTCTGTAAGAGGATCCAGAAGATGACTATTCTTCCAAGTGGAATCTAAAAAGGGAATCACGGCTCATTAGCTAATGCTCCCTTCCTCAGAGGCAGAAAGAGACAGGGAGGAAATCTTGAAAGTCAGAGTTATAAATTTTTGTGCCTCTGTCTTTCCAAGTCTGTAGGAGTTGAAAGATGTTCCTTGGTTTTCTATGCAATTCACTTCCAAGGTTTGTTCACCATCCTGACTGAAATTCATGATTTGGGGGACTCTGGGATCCTGGGAATGAAATAGGAATGCACAGTTACATGTGCCAGAGAATGCAAGACAACAGGAATGCACAATTATGGGTGCCAAAAGAGCAAATAAAATGAAAGCCTGTAAGAAAACCAATCCGATTGTACTGTATGCATTGCTCATGGCAGTGCCAGAGATTGGCATAAGTGGATATTTGGCAAAGCTCATACTTCTGGAAAAACCCAACCGCTGCCCTATTTCCTTTCTCTTTGCAAAGCGTATGTGTCTCTAATATTTCAAACATACTTCCTATATTGTGAGACTTGTAATAGACCTTCAAATCAGGATAACATGTGAATTTAAATGTTGCTCTGTTGAAAGACAGAAACAGAAAACCAAATTCCTGGGAAGATGGATGGATGGATGGATGGATGGATGGATGGATGGATGGATGGATGGATNCTGTCAGGAAATTTCTCCTTAGTTCTAAGTTGCTTCTCTCCTTGATTAGTTTCTACCCGTTGCTTCTTGTCCTTCCTTCGAAGAATAGCTTGACTCCCTCTTTGTGGCAGCCCCTCAAACACTGGAACACTGCTATCATATAACCCCTAGTCCTTCTTTTCCTTAAACTATTAAACCTGTGAATCATAGCAAATGTGGAAACGTGATAAAAGATAGAAACCTAGAGAATTCCTGATGCATCTGATGTGCTCTAAAAGCAAGTGAGTGCTATTCCTGGAGAGACAGCACTTAGTGCCACCCATCAGAAGGCAATATATGATGTCTGTTTTTTTTCTGTCTTGGATCAATTTTCTGATCCAATAAGAAAGGGGGAAAAAAGCCAACCACAACACAACCTTCTCTAGAAATTTCACACACAATTGCAAAAGTAGTCCTCCATTAGTCTTAAACCCATAGTAAATTTCCATGTCTCACAAATACCATAGGATGCTAACTTCTCCTAGTCATTTGACCATTTACCAACATTCCTCAGCCTTGGAGCAACTCTGGGTTGGGTTGATGTTTTGGGTATTTGATTTCCTCAAGCTTTCTGTTTTTCAAGTAGACTCCTCACTCCCCATTTAACTACACTTTAAAACTGCATGCATTCTTAGCAATGTTGCTATGTAGGAGCTGGTAAAAGCTAAATTTCAGACCAGATCATATACCTTCTCATCCAACAGTACTAACAGTAAAGTCAATTCTCCAAATATTGGCCATTGTGTAGCCTTAATAATGGGGTGGGTGGGTGGGTTCATAGAGAAGACGTATCAAAAAGGCACGATGAGAATCACAGCTATGCAGTCAAAGCCTTGACCCCCCCCCCTTTGGGGGGGAATCCCCTCCCTGCATAGACACATACAATGCAGGCAAAGAGTTGATTGCACAGTTGCAGTTGTCACCGAGACCTTTTTGATCACTTAACAGGCCAACTTCCCACTGAAACATGTCTACCGAGGCTGGAAAATCCAGAAAAGATGAATTTTGAACAATAATCCTTGAAAATGCGTTTGAACATTGCCAAAGTAGATTGATTTCTCTTGCAGGTATAAGCACTTCAATTTTCATCTCCATTCCAGCAATACTGGAAGAGCTAAGTTGAAGTGTGTGTGTGTGAGAGAAAGGGAGGGGGAGGGAGGGTGAGAGGGGTGAGAGAGAGGATAGATTACATAAGGAGATTGATAGAGTGATAAACAGAGAAAATATATATACATATACACAAGAGTGATAGATAGCTTTGGATGGAAGGGTGAATGAATGGATAGATAGGTAGGTAGATACATAGATAGATAGAGAAGATAGAATAGATAGAGAGGATAGAAAAATAAATGACAGAGGTATAGATAAGTAGATCATGGAGTTAGAGATGATAAATAGATTGAAGTAAATAGATTGATAAAGATCATATCTAGATAGTGACAATAGACACAGAGAGAGAGAGAGAGAGAGAGAGAGAGAAAGAGAGAGTGAGGGGGAGAGAGAGAGGGATGGATGGGGGAAGAGAAATTTGCAGTCCTTTTGGGGGCTGACTGGAGTAGTTGAACAGATAGCTGTTCAAATGATGGAGCTTTCCAGGTGGCAGCCTGGAGGCTCCTGCTAGGTGTGACTCATCCTTTTGCAGCTCTCCTCTGTCCCAGATGACAGCTCCTTCCAATATTTAAACAGCATTATGGAACAGGAAAGCACTAACTGCTTTGTAGGATGGAGGTTGCAACAGTGGGGAGGCTGGGGCTGGGGCGGCAGACTGGAAATCATGAACCCACTTTCTGCTCTGCTAACCAAGCTCTTCCTTTAGGAAGGCACCCTCAATACTGCAGTTGCAGGGGACAGTGTGTGTGTGTGTGTGTGTGTGTGTGTGTGTGTGTGTGTGTAGGGGAGGGGAGAAGTTGAATGAGAGGGGCAAAGCTACTGCTGTTCCCTGCTTTATTGCCAGTTACTTTTCCAAATACAAGCCAGTAACTCTGAGCATTGCACTTTGGGGGTGGGGTGGGGGGGAGGTTCAATCACATGCAGAAGGAACAATCTATCTTTCCTTCTGTATCTTGTCTGGGGCTTCTTACTTACACACAAGGGACACGGTAGAGCAGTGGCTAAGACACTGAGCTTGTCGATCAGAAAGGTCAGCAGTTCGGAGGTTTGAATCCCTAGTGGCACATAACAGAGTGAGCTCCTGTGACTTGTCCCAGCTTCTGCCAACCTAGCAGTTCGAAAGCAGGTAAAAATGCAAGTAGATTAATAGGAACCATCTTTGGTGGGAAGGTAACAGCATTCCGTGCGACTTTGACATTTAGTCATGCCGGCCACATGACCACGGAGATGTTTTCGGACAGCGCTGGCTCNGGTTATCAGCTAGTAGGGAATATAAATGGAACACACAAAGATCCTAGGGACCACGGTGTCTTTAAATACATTTTAGCTGCTCTTTTTCCCCTTCCATAAGTTATTTCCAGATGAGTTGAATGTGTTTTCTTGAAATTCCTTTGGTATTTCTGCCAGGCAGGTTTTGGGAAAGAAATATGTCAGAAAATATATCACGGCATGACCTTTCTCTCTCTTTCAAAGCATTTAATTGTGTATTTTTCTGTTTCCCCTTTTTTTCTTCTCTAGGATGTGACTTTCCACAGGAAGATGGACCATGAAAGCAAACGATCTGCCAAAGCTCACTAGCGCCTGATGAGAAGAGCCGCTGATCCCTTGGGTTTCCTCCCCCAACATCGCTTGACAGCTGAAGGATTCAGAAAACACCAAAAGGCAGAGCTAAAATACCATGGCATGCTTTAGGAAGGATACTGTTCCTTAATTACAAGGCTTAACCTGCAAAGCTTCATTTAAATTGTGGTGGTTTGATCACACATCAAGCACATATTTAAAGGAAGAGGCAGTTATGCCCATGTAGTTAACTGAACAGGTTGAAATATATCCACTTGCACAAAACACAGAACAAACTTAGATAAAATATAACTGTCCATCCAGACGTATTGGCTCAAAATGGATGGTGGCCATAGAAACCAAGGGACCCATGGCGGGTTTGATGACTATCGCTACCAGGATGGTGGCTACACAGGTTATGCTCCCAACGACCCAACCTATCACACCAGGGAGGAGCCCAATCAGGAAGAAGATGCTCAGAGCGACGCTACCGAAGGCCACGATGAAGACGATGAAGTCTATGAAGGAGAGTACCAGGGCATTCCTCACCCGGATGACAAGCCCAAGCAGAAGAAAAAAGCCGGTCTGTCCAATGAGTTCAGAGATCACGATGAGCTTATAGCAGAAAAGATGGAAGATGAAGAGCAGCTGGCCCACCAGTATGAGAACATCATTGTGGAATGCGGCCATGGACGATTCCAGTGGATGCTTTTCATTGTGTTGGGCTTGGCCCTGATGGCGGATGGAGTGGAAGTTTTTGTGGTCGGTTTTGTCTTGCCCAGTGCTGAGAAGGATATGTGCTTAACCACCTCCAACAAAGGAATGCTAGGTGAGTCCTACATGTCTCAAGGAACAAGGAAGGATGTTGTAAAGCTTTCCTGATTACCGTATTTTTCGATGTATAAAACGCCCCAGAGTATAAGATGCCCCAAGATTTTGAAGAGGCAAATTTTTAAAAAGCACTCTGCAGACCTCCCAAAAATGGTCCTTTTTTTAAAANCGCTATCCAGGATAATACCCCAGGGGCAATGGCGGGGGGTAATGATGGTAATAGTCAAAGCCAGATGGGGCTGTACCAGCGAGTCCAGGAATCCTGAGGTCGCGGTCAAAGGAGGCCAGATGTTAAGGTGCCAAAATAAGGGAGAGCCAAATGCCAGGCAGAACACACAGGAGGAGACCTCACAGCAGCGGGGGCAGGCAGAGAAGAAATCGCGCCTGAAAAGCCACCCGACCAAGCAAGAACGGAGGAGGAAGGAGGCAATGTTGGAAAGGAAGTGGGGCCAAACAGGGAGGAGAGCCATCCGGAGGGGCAGCATCAGGCAAAGCCAGCCGCCCAAGTTTCCCAGTCCCAGCAATATTCTAATTCGCTCACTCTCTCCCCGGGGCGATGGTAGCCAAATGAAGCCCCCAGGAAGCTCAGCAAATAGAATGGAGCAAATAGGATGGAAACTGCCGAAAAACGCCACCGCCGCAGCCAGCGTGGCGCCGCCTCCCCCACCGCCGAGCAACGCAGGCAGCACACAAACCTTCGAAGATTGTACAGTCCGGGGCCGCCCAGAAGCGGCGACCCCCACAAAGGTCTGAGCTCCTCTGGTCCCCTGAATTCCAGACATCCCCAGGGACCCTTTTCCGGAGGTATGAGGTTGTTTTTCTTAGAAGCTTTTCAGCGTTTTTCGCCTGATCAGTTCGGAGCGAAACGCCTGGCAGCCATCTCTAATCTTGCACATGCGCAGAAAAAAAGAGCCATTTGGACCAGTTTCCCACAGAAAAGAAAATATTGGGAGCCACAAAACCTGGGTGGCCATGGCCAACGTGACGTCACTCACTCCCACCCAGTCACATGACCCCCCCTAGCCACTCCTACCCAGCCGGTCATTAGGGTAGACAACCGGTTGTTAAAAAACACCAGGAGCCACAAAACCCTTTTGTCATCTCTCTCTCCCTCACTCTCCCTCCCTCCCTCTCTCCCCCTCTCCCTCCCCCTTTCTCTCCCTCTGTATCTCTCTCTCTCTGTATCTCTCTATGTCCCCCTCTCTCCACCCTTTCTCTCCCTCTCCCTCTCTCCCCCCTCTCTGTATCTCTCTCCCCCTCTCTCCCTCTCTATCTCCCCCCTCTCTCTGTATCTCTCTCTCCCTGTCTCTCTCTCCCCCTCTCTCTGTATCTCTCTGTGTCTCTCCACCCTCTCTGTGTCTCTCTCTCTGTATCTCTCTCTTCCCCTCTCTGTCTCTCTCTCCCCCCTCTCTGATTCTGATATGAGGCATTGAGCAAGCCGTGAGGGAGCACAGTTAACTTTATTGTGTTTCACAATGGGAGAGATTGTGAATCCTCCTCCTCCTGTAGCCCATTATGACATGAAACCACAATGTGACCTTGCCCCACTCACCCCTAGCAACATGACATGGCTTACAGCTCCGAGTCCAAAGCAGCAGGAGGCGAGGGCTGCCTTGAACCAAATGTGGTAAAAAGGCAAATATAGGGCCACTTCACTCCTGTACTAAGCTCTGGCCATTGCCTTCCCAGCAGTTCTTCATCTGAGCGCAGCGGGCGTGAGCTCCAGCCCAAAGCAGCAGGAGGCAAAGGCTGCCTTGAGCACAAATGTGGTGAGATAATTGGTAATCCATCTGGTCCTGGTGTTTTCACCTTCTTTTGCCTTTTGATGCCTTCTGTTGCCTCCTCCCCATTCAGTTATTATCAACAATCATTTGTTTATAATTTAGCAGCTCCTCCCCACTCAAGACATCATCAACAGTTGCACTGAGATCAGTTTTCTCCACCTGGTGCTCTTCAGAAGTGTTGGGAGCTCATCTTCCAGATTGGTCTGGAGAGTTGCTTTAGGGCAGCAGGTGAGCTGAGAATTCTGGGAAAACTGAAAGGAAAGAGAGAACTGAAAGTTTGAGTAGAAATTGGATGACAGACAATTCAGGGGGACATGGAAGACCCACCTGAGTTCCTTCAGTGCTGGCAATCCCATCCTTTGGAAGGTTCCTAAAACTTTCCCCCATTTGTATGTAAATAATTAACAAGTACATCTCTCTCTCTCTCTGACGGAAACCCCCCATTTTCCACTCCATTGGGTTGTCTGCGCTGCGCTGGATTGGGATGGAGAGGGGGGGGAGCAAAAAGCCCACTTGGTCCACAATGGAGGAAGGGGAAACTGGGGTACATGATTCCAGGTAGTTATCTGCATGGGATTGTGAGAAAGCTGGGAATCCTTTCTCACCTCAGGTAGGTTTTCTTCTGCGGCATACCTTTCCTTCAAGGTCTGTGGAGAGTCTCATTCATCCAGATTGTGGTTATTCCAAAGGTGCTTTTTCAAGAGGCAACTAGACTTTCTTGTTTTTTCTTTGAAGACATTGCGTTTTTCATCCATATAAATTCTTCCATTCCCCACCATCCACTCAGAGCTGAAGAAGCTTCTTAGATGAGAAGTGAAACATCTTCAAAGAAAAAACAAGAAAGTCCAGTTGCCTCTTGAAAAATTACCCTTGTGACATTCCCTCAAGGAGAACCAGGACATTGGTCTATCTTGGATAAGTTTGGATAAGAAAGATCTGCCACAAACTCTTTGCATCCATCTGAACTCCACATCCAAAGAATGAATATGGATTTCTCAGAATGTCCTTAATACAATTTTATTTCTCGTGAAAAGTAGATAAAGAGGTCTTAGCCTTCTCGTTGGCTTAGTCCTGGGGAGACTTGGATGCTTGGTATGCATTTCCTATTTGTCTGGGAGGAGGAACATTTTCACTCATCTCCATTTTGCAGAATTAAGAGTACTTTTACTGATTATAAGTAAATAGAAGCTAGGCAAAGCTGGATCTGAGCTAAAGCGCGCAAAAGCATTAGATATCAATACATGATTCATTCCCCTCCCCTTGGTACCCCAGTCCATAGTCCAATCGTATATCACCACAACTGTCAGGTGGGAGACATCTTTAAAAATCATCATCAGGTTGGTATGCCGGACAGTTGGCCTTGGCGGGAAACTCCCCTCCTTCCACATGCGCAAACGAANAATTCACTATGTTATCGGGCGGCTCCGTCTTTCCACCCCCAGATTTATGTTCTTGGGGGGTTAAATGGAGTGCTGTCCAAACACAGCATACTCGCCTCCTTCTCCTATGCCCGGAGAAGAGGTAATCAAACTGTCAAACAGTTGATGGATACTGTTTAGATAGCTTAACGCAACCAAGGATCCAGAGCTGTTAAAAACAACAGACTCCTGTCAGACCACACCCATCCGGAAGTCATGACCATCTCTTACATTGCAGAAATCTAAAGGATTTTAAGAAAGAGATACTGAAAATATCAACAATTTAAACTGCCACATATGGAGACTAGATTTTGGCAGCCTGGAGCTGGTAAAGGAAAGGTAGCCTGGCATTTTGGTGTAGGGCAGGGGTGTCAAACTTATTTTCATTGAGGGCCACATCACGGTTCTGTTTGACCTCAGGGGGCATGGTCAGGTGGGTGTGGTCAGCTTGAGATCACTTCTGTCAGGGGCACCTGTGGTGGCCTGGGTGGGGCTGAGGGGATCTATTGTCTCCAGCGGAGGAAGGCAACACCAGGGAGAAGGCCAAACCCTTATCCTCCAGAGGAGCCTCACCATCCCTCTCAGGCCACTTGGTGGACCCTTGAGCGGCAGCGCAGGCTGTCCAGAGACCTAGGCAGCGGAGGGCAAGTGCCCAGCCCAGTACGTGAGCTCCCAGGGCACCGGGACCCCACAGTCCAGCCCTGCTTCCCTGAGGGAGTGCCTGGCTGCACTTACCTCCTCTTTGAGGTTGCTGCTGCTGTGCTCACTCTCCTTGTCCAGGTTGCTCATGGTGTGTGCAGGTGTTCTGACCTAGGCTTCCCAAAAGCATGAAGCCAACTCCTCGTCCCAATAAAACCCCATTTATTTAGTTTAAAGTGAACTCCTCTCCAGCAAAGTCCCGGCCAACAGTCTTTCAAGAGATTTCACAACTTTATCAGGCTTGGAGAGCTGCCAGGCCGATATCTTCCAAACGCCACTCTAGCAGACAATACTTGGCAAGACGTCAGGAACAGATCTTTACCCTAATGAATTGAACTAATTGTCTCCTGCAAACTCCACTTCCCTTTCACTCCTCTGACTCCTCCTCTATTTCCTATGGGAGGGGCCATTCACAATCCACCAGTGGCTTTACTCCTGACTCGACCCTTGTTCCTTAGCTGTTCCCTTCTCCTGGTAACTCTGTGCATGCATACACTGGGAACAGGCTGCAGCTGTTTTTCTCACCACTGATGTCCAACTCCGAAGGCAGCTGATAACTGTCAGACGGCCCTGGCCCCATCTCTGCCTCTGACACAGAGCACTTGTCAGAGCCTTCCCCAGTCTCCAGGACTGGCCCATGTTCCTCCCCAACCTTCTCACTGTCTGAGTCTGCCACCAGCTCTGCTGGCGGGCCACAACAGCAGGATGGCAAAGTGTGTGGGTCAGAGCTTGGGGTGGTGCGTGCAACCCCCTGGGCCCCATTTTTGGCCTAGACCAGGGGTCTGCAACCTTAAACACTCAAAGATTTGGTATTTTGGTATTTGGTATTTTGGTATTTATTAATATTTGTATGCCGCCCTTTTCCCTGGGGGGACTCAGGGAGGCTCACAGTTCAGGAGGAGGGGGGGACAAACCAAGTTACATATAGGACAATACTTCATTAAAAAANGGGAGCTTTGTGAACTACAGACCTGGCATTTAGCGACAGCAGCCTGAGACCAGGTTCCTGATTACTCGCGCCATCTGGCCTTGGAGTGGGAGTCATAGGGCCAGAAGGAGGGATCTCTGTGACGTAGACAGTAGACAGTTTGAGATTGAAGCTGTGGGGGTTTGAGGATGTAACAAACGGAGTCAGGTACAGCATTCCAGGCATTGACCACTCTGTTGCCGAAGTTGTATTTTTTGCAATCGAGTTTGAAGTGGTTTACCTTGAGTTTGTATCAATTATTTGCCTGCGTGTTATTGTGATTGAAGCTGAAGAAGTAATTGACCGGCAAGACATTGTAGCAGACAATTTTGTGAACTATGCTTAGACCAGACCACAAAAGATGCAGTTTCAGATTGTCCAAGCCCAGTGGCATAGGGAATTCTATCATGAGTAGAGGAGTGGAGTACTCTTCTTGAGAAATACCTCTGAACCCGCTCAATCATGTTAATGTCCAATATGCACCGTGGGTTCTAGGAGGATGAGCTGTATTCAAGAATTGGCCTGGCGAAGGTTTTGTAAGCCCTAGTTAGCAAGATAATGTTACTGGAAAAGAAGCTTCACAAAATTAGGTTAACAACTCTTAATGTCTTTTTGGCAATGCTGTTACAGTGAATTTGGGGGCTTAGATCATTTCAGATGAGTATTCCTAATCCTTGACAGAGTGAAGGTCATCTTTGAGATCGTTTCCTCCCAACTTGTATTTGGTGTTCTGATTTTTATTGCCAATGTGTAGGACAGAGCATTTATTAGATAAAATTTGGAGTTGCCAATTATACGACCATTTTGACCCATAGTCAAGGTCACTTTGTAGGGCAGCAGCATTGTGAATGATGACAATAGCAATGCCCAATCAATTTTCAAAGGACATCAATTTTCCAAATACACAGCTGATGTTTCTGTAATGTTTATTTTAATACAAATATTTATTGGGATATTATAGCAATAGCAATAGCAGTTAGACTTATATACCGCTTCATAGGGCTTTCAGCCCTCTCTAAGTGGTTTACAGGGTCAGCATATCGCCCACACAGTCTGGGTCCTCATTTCACCCACATCGGAAGGGTGGAAGGCTGAGTCAACCTTGAGCCGGTGAGATTAGAACCGCTGAACTGCAGATAACAGTCAGCTGAAGTGGCCTGCAGTACTGCACTCTTAGCACTGCACCACCTCGGCTCTTATTAAAATGGAAATCTGAATAGGGCAAGTAGCCAAATAGTGGCTTTTACACTTTAAAGAATATTTACAAGAGTTTGACATATAACACTGAAGGCGCCAGATTACCTCATAGATTATGGTAGATTTTGGGCAGTCATGTTTTGTAAAGAATTGGTAGTGATTCTTGGCTATGTCCAGCCACAATTCACCTGCTCTCACCACAAGAAATTGGATGATCATTTAGATATACTTTTAGAACATGTTGTGCAATTGCTCCTTCCATATAATTACTCATATGGTATATGATGCAAAATATTCATAATTTGATTGCATTTGTTGTAAATCTGTCTGTAGCTTTTTTAATCTTAATACAGAGCCATAAACTGCTTCAGGATAAAATCTTTCTCTGAAAAATACAATATGGCAAAATGGGCTAACCTTGGATCAATTATTGGTTCAATTATTAGTAGAGCATATGGAGTATGTCATTCAAAGCTGTCTGCATGTTTCGTGGAGGCTGAATTATGCAACAGAATTTATAGCAATACTTCCTTAACTAGGGATAGGAAATATTTTTAAGAAACACTTATTACTTGGTATTATTATTATGTTGATATTCCTTGTTGTACTTCAATGTTGTTTTATGCAATATTTATTTATTTATTTGCCTGCCAACCAATCTGCAACAATTTTTTTAAAATCTGTCCCACCTCACCTTGATCTTTCAGATGCTAACTACACTCTTGCTTGTTAAATATTATAGTGACTCAGTGAATTATACAGTTTTGAGAACAAAATAGGAGAATTGTTTCCTTAAATGTTATGCTTATTAGCATTTTAAAAGGGGATATTAGCACTTTCATTATGACAGTCTAGGCTTGTTTTTGTTAACTGTAATAGAACAGATTTTCATCTTCTTAGTCAATGCCTTTTCTTTTGTATGCAAGAACTTGTTTTTTCAGCAACTACACAATAGACAACATATTTTGAAAGTCCTCGGACCGCTTGAGATACAAACCCAGATGGAAAAGAGCAATTTAACCCATTAATTTTCTAGTTGTGGAATGTTACCTAGAATCAATATTTTTTGTTGTTCAAGCCTCAAATATTTATCAGAATAATATTTTAAAATATGACTACAAAGTTCATAACATAGAAGTTGGATTATATCCCAAGATTCTGAAGGTACTGGTACAAAGGTGGGTTGCTGCTTGTTCGGCCTGGAATGAGCAAACCGGTAGTACCGGCAGTGGAAGACTCCACCTACCTGCCCGGACGAACACAAGTGAGCCTGAACCAATAGTAAAAAATTAGCAATCCACCTCTGTGCTGGCAGATGTGATCTCAGAGCCACTGAACTATATTTTCCGAAAGTCCTGGAGCACTGGGGGATATGAGGGCAAGACAAGAAGGAATGGATGGAAATTAATCAAGGAGAGAAGCAACCTAGAAATAAGAAGAAATTTCCTGACAATTAGAACAATTAACCAGTGGAACAACTTGCCTCCAGAAGTTGTGAATTCTCCAACACTGGAAGTTTTTAAGAAGAGATTGGACAACCATTTGTCTGAAATCGTGTAGGGTTTCCTGCCTCAACAGGGACTAGAAGACCTCCAAGTTGTCTTCCAATTCTGTTATTCTATTTTATTCTATGTTATATAAGTAAAACTATACCCTCAAATTACAGTAGGTGAAATAATTTGTAAAAAAAAAACAAAAAACCAACCATGTAGCAAACTCTATGAAAAATGCTTGTTGACTGATTGTTTGAGAATGCTATGCATTCCAATGGAGGAAATGTACATTTATCCATTTTTAATAAAATAGCAAGCGTGTGTGAGGATATAAAATAAACTGCCACATATTTCTACAGTAATGGTTTTGCAATATTTGGACTTACTGATATATGCATAGTGGAACTGAACTACACTTAGTATCTTAATATGAGCCAGCAGTGTGCAGCAACGGCCAAAAAAGCCAACTCAGTTCTAGGCTCATAAACAGAAGGATAGAATCAAGATCAGGTGAAGTGTTAACACCACTTCATAATGCCTTGGTAAGGCCACACTTGGAATACTGCATTCAGTTTTGGTCACCATGATGTAAAAAGATGTGGAGACTCTAGAAAGAGTCCAGAGAAGAGCAACAAAAATGATTAGGGGACTGGAGACTAAAACATATGAAGAACNCCCCCCCCCCTTTTTGATTGTAAGCCGCCCTGAGTCCCCTCAGGGAAAAGGGCGGCCTATAAATTCCAATAAAATACTTTAAAAAAAAACAAAAATCTGTAGTTTTCTATAAGCCAGTGTTTGCCAGCTGAGTAAACTTTTTATGATTCTGATTTCTAAAGAACAACCTGTAGCCTACTGCTCTGTACAGGTGGGCCCCATTCCTTGAAAGCTTTGGCTGCTTTTGTCCTTGCGTTTCAAATATCAAGAGACAAGGTTATAGTTTTCCATTAATTGAGTTTTTAAATTGTTGTTCCTCATGAGAAAATTTGGTTGTTCTCCTTGAATATCAAGCCTTCACATATCAGCAATTAGCTGCTTATGAAGCAGAGCTTCTAGCTATTTCAAACGTGACTTTGAAGCATTGTACAACTTTGACTCCTGCAAATCTGTTTCATGAGATTACAGAAGAAGGAAGTTGAAAACATAACTATTTGCACCTAAAGGTGCTTTTTCAAAAGGTTTGTTTTGGACTTGTTTTTTTCCTTCTTGAAAATGTTTTGCTTCTTACCAAAGAAGAATCTTCAATGCTGACTGAATGTTGGAGAAATCCAACTCTTTAATCCTAACCCTAATCTTTCCAGTCAGCATTGAAGAGGCTTCCTAAATGAGAAACAAAATGTTTTCAAGGGGGGGAAAAAGTAAAGAAAGTCCACTTGCCTTTTGGAAAAGAGCTTTAGGACAACCATGATCTGGAGGATTGAGAATCTCTATAGACATAGCTGTTTGCAGACTATAAGCCTGGTAGAGAAACCTTGCTCAGCTCTTGCTAATGTGACCTTACAAAATCCTAACTCTGAACTCTTTTGGGATGGGTTAATCCTTTGTAGTTAATGAGACTTCTTAACAGGGGCTACACGTTTTATTTTAGTCTGCTAGGTAGAATCCTTGCCATCTTCCTTGGGAGCTTGAGCATTGCCTTAAATTGTGCTTGTTGTATTGACAGAGACAAAAGTATTAATATCTTCACTGATTCAACATATAGTTTTGATGTTTGCCCAGCTATGGATGCTTTATGGAAACTGAGTGAAGGATAAGGAATGGTAAAATCTTGGGATGGAGTGAAAAGAGGGATTAGCCTAGAATACCAATGTAGTACAAGCAAACTAAATCCAACACACTTCTGATTGCCAATTGACTCCTTATCTAACTCTAGGCTTTTCATTACTTGAAAAGATTTCTGTTCATGGGCTTTTAGCAATAAATCAGTTTAATTGATACTACTTGTGGAGACTTGGTCATTTGCACCAGACACTGAGAGACTTCTTTACATTAGACTGCCAGATTATTCACAAAGACCTGATCATTCCACTTTGGGATGCTTTCTTAGCAAAGGCTACATTTCCTCTGAGTGATCAGATCATCCATTCCAGTGGATACACATGTGCTGCTTAAAAGTCCCTTCGTAGGATTCTTGATCCAACTTGGAAGAGTCCATTCTACCCAAAACTACTGTCTTTTGTAGACGAAAAATGTTCATTAAATATTATAGGTGGAGATTGTCAGAGTATTGAAACTAGTCTAATGAACTTTTTTTTTAAAAAAATCTAAACTTATTACTTTTAATTAACCATTACGTCTGTTGGACTTTTGTTTGTGTTACTGCTTTTACAATATTTTTATGCTACAAATGGGGAAGTTGGACAGGCTGGAAGAGCAAACTTCCTAATTCAGCCCAGGGAACATGTGATTGAAAATGTTGGCCTGTAAAATAAAAAACTCCATGGAGGTCAGAGATGTCCTCTTGTTCCATATTGATTGGTGAGTAAATCACATTATTGCATTGGATTTCACTGTTATATAGGAACACTTATTTATCTGTTTGAATGTTCATCAAACATGAACAAGATAACAAGTATAGGTATGAACATAAACATGAACAAAGGAAGTAAATACAGATAAATGGGGACAGTAAGACAGGGACGGTAGGCACGCTGGTGCG